GGACTTTGTGTTTTTGTTGTATGCATACATTTTTGAAACGAGGTAACAGAAGTAACGTTCTGTTTTTATGAATTGGTCATTTTGATGTTTGCGTTATTTTTCCCTTTCATAACAAAGCATGTTGACTGGGGACTTTCACTTGTCCAACAATATATTTAAAAAAAAAAAGAAAGAAAGAAACAATCTGGCACTGATGTTTTTTGTCCAACATTCTATGATGTGTTAGTGCTGAACTCATAAAAAATAAAATATGAATTAAAGATTAAGGTCTTGCATATCAATGACCCTCTGTATTATGTTTCAGGGGCATAAAATATTTACTGAGAAATATATATAGAAAAAAAAGCGTTGAAATTGATGCTGAGAAGGTTATGTATTTATTTATTCATAGTCCCTTAAGTTCTCAAACTTTCTTTAAACACACATCTTGAAGCAAGGAATTGAAGCAATCATCTTTTCCTTCATCTAGAAAATTCATTCTAGGAGTTCATGACTATCTTTCTTCATGTTAACATTTGGTTTCAATTTATTACAATTTTCTTCACGGAAGAAGATCATCAGTAGAAAGTCCCTTGAGATTTTGTTTTTTCCTGGCATCAAAACCTTGCAAAGTTTTATTTGTTTTTTCGCATATCGTTTCCTTGCTTTTATTAGCTAGCATTGCCGGAAGCCAGAGATATATCCATGTGCATGCTAATTGTAGTTTCAGACTTTACTGAATTATTATTCTTCCACTTGTTGAGTCAAGTGATTTTCTTTTTGTCAGGTTTCATATTGATAATGAGGTTGCAGATATCTTCAATCAACTTGTCATCCCACTCATGGTCAAATTTTTTTGCTGAATTTTTGTGCCTCTTCTTTCTTCAGACTTGTCAGCTATGCCCATTTTTAATTTTAGATGACTCGAGGTTGTTCATGCTTGGCTGTTAGTTTGTTGCTTGTACAAGTTTCTGCTGTTGCTGCTCATATTCTTTGCTTCTACCAATTGGTCTCTGAGAGCCTTGTCTGAGCAGGAATATCAAGAATCATTAGCAGTTTTAGTTCGGGGTCATGCACTCTTTTTCCTTGATGGATTTTTTCCCATTGGGTTTTTTCCTGTCAAGGTTTTAATGAGGCATCTTTTTTCTAAGGATTAGATTCCATGATTTCTTGTATCATAAGCATCCTTCTGTTAGCTTAGGTGTTTTTGTTCTGTTTCTGTCCATTTTGGATTTGTACGCCTAAATGGCACGTGTTTTATTCACCTAAACTGTTTGTATTCGTTCGTTTCTTTTAATTTTATCAATGAGACGAATCTAATTAAGGGTTGATTTGTCTGATCAAAATATACGACTCACATGGTTTCTTCTTTTTTTCAGAGTTTCTCTAGTAGTCCTTCCCAACAGTAGTCCTAATTTTTGACCGTTAGATTTGGTCAAAATCACATCAAATTGAAAAAATATGCAGAACAAACAGTATTTAATAAAGATTTAACGGTTGTAAAGGGTGTACTGTAAATGCATAATCTTGCAAGTTTAGTGGCAGATAAGAACATAAAAATATTAGATGGAAATACAGGGGAATTTGAAAGCAGTACTAACAGAATTAGGTTTAGATAGTGATATAAAAAATGCTTTAAAAAAATGTTCATCATATATATGTTGATTTTAAATTTGAAAAATCGTGTCGAATTCCAACACAATTGTTAGAACAACGAAAGATGCGCACACTTATTTTACCCAAGTTTCAAAGATTGAGTTCATCGGACTATGATGATATTCTATCAAACTTTAAGGGCCTGTTTAGTTCGCTGATCGAGTTTTTAATTCGAGTTGAGATGTGACGTTATGTGAGAGCTTTTTACTGTAACAAAAAAGTTAGATGTGATTGTTTCTAAGTTCATGCGTGCATTGAGTCTTAAAATTGAAGTTAATGTAGAAACTCTACCACATAATTTGGGTAAACTAAAGCATCTTAGATATCTTGATCTCTCACAAAATAATCGTATCGAGAAGCAACCAGATAAAATAACAGGGTTGTACTATTTTTGGACTTGACTTGCACTGACGTTAAAGAGTGCATATTTTTGGACTTGGCAAAACTAGGGCGACACAATATTTAAAGGACAAGGAACACCTTGAGAACTTAGTTTTGCATTGTATTATTAGAAATGAAGCAACTGAGAATGTTGAAGAAGACTTTGAATGCTTAGAGCCACCTCAAAATACAAAAGCCATAAAAGTGTCATTTTATCCGGGTGGGACATTTCCTAAATGGCTTTCTTCGCACACTAGTCTTGTTCGCTTGGAACTAGATTATTGTAAAAAATGCAAATATCTTCCACCATTGCACCATTTACCTTCTCTTCCGGAATTTAGACTTAGTATGTTTCAGACAGGGAGTGGAACAAAGGTGACCATTTATCCAAGTCCTTCCCATCCTTGGAGAAACTCGATATTAGAGGATGCGATAATCTGAAAGGTTGGTGGAGGAGAGAAAGAGAGAATTTTGGTGAAGCACTAATAGAGCATCAACAAACTTCTTTTCCTAATCTTTGGAAAGCGATAATATCTGATTGCCCTGTTCTAACTTCTATGCACTTGTTCCCGAATCTCGAAAATCTGAAACTACACAAGACAAGAACCAAGCCACTAGAACGGACAATCACGATGAAATTGAAGAGTGAAACTGCTAGTGTTGCAGCAACATCATTAGCATCTTCCTCCTCCTCCTCCACTTCCGCTCCCTCCAAAATGAAGCATTTATCTATTGAGGATGTTGACGATTCAGAATCGTTGTTGTTAAAGGCAGTAGTACACAATGGCTCATCGCTTCAGTCTCTGAGTATTAGGATGTGTTCAAATTTGACCTTACTTACAGAAGGGATAGGCGGCCTCTCATCGCTTACAGATCTTACAATTCATGGATGCGAAAATTTGGTCTGGATTCCAATTGGGATAGGCAGCCTTTCATTGCTTCAGTCTCTGACAATTTGTAGTTGTTCAGAATTGGCATCACTTCCAGAAGAGTTAGGCAACCTCTCATCGCTTCACTCTCTGGATATTTTTAACTGTTCAAAGTCATCATCACTTCCAGAAGGGATAAGCGGCCTCTCATTGCTGCAATCTCTGAAAATTAGCCATTGTTCAAATTTGGCATCACTTCCAGAAGGGATCGGCAACCTCTTATCATTTCAGTCTCTTTGTATTACGTACCGTTCAAATTTGGCATCACTTTCAGAAAGGATAAACAACCTCTCATCGCTTCAGTTTCTGAGTATAAAGAACTGCTCAAATTGGCATCACTTCCAGAAGGAATAGGCAGAGTCTCGTCGCTGCAGACTCTAAAACTTAGTCGGTGTTCGAATGTGGCATCAATTCCAGAAGCGATATGCAGTCTCTCATCACTTAAATATCTCATAATTGAAGGATGTAGCAATTGGACCTCGATTCCTAGTGGGATAGGTGGGCTCCCATCTCTCGAGGCCGTTAATAGAAACTGTTGCGATGAAATTACAATGGACGCATTGGCTGACTACCTCCTGCAGCAGAACTCTCGAGCTTGATTGTCATATGAAGTCTAATGCTCCACTACTTTTATGAGGTTAGTTCATCATATACCTCTAATTTGATATTCCCTCCCATTTAAAAGTAGCATTTGACAATACTTGTGTTTTATTAACTTTGCAGGAACACAAATCATCTAAATTGAATTACTTATATTAATGCTTAGAACAGTTCCCTATAAAATAAAATAAAATAAAAGCATATTGATCCGTAGGGAATTATTGAATTAAAACAATCTTCTTTTCCTATCTATTAGCAGTAGCAATTGTTATATTCTTCATCTAGAAATTTCTTTAAGATGTCTTTTTTTTTTTTTTTTTTTTCACTCTCTCTCTTTTGTTTCCTCGCATTAAGTGATTTTTTGTTTGTCAGGTTTCAAATACGTAATCAGGTTGTGGATAAATTAGCAGGTTTTTTGATCCACTCGTCAGCTCACTCGTGGTGGCATTCTTCGCCAAATTTTTGTACCTCCATCCTTTTTCAAGGCTTGTCAGCTATTTCCAAATTTTTCTTATAGACGATTCAGGGATTGTTAGTTAGTCCCGACTGTTGGTTTGTTGCTTGTGCAAGCTTGGTTGCTGCGGCTCTCATTGTCCTTTGCTTATGCCAGTTGATCAATGAGATCCTTGTTTCAGGAGAAATTCCAAGTCTCATGAGCAGTTTTGGTTCGGGATCATGCATTCTTTTTCCTTGATGGATTCTTTTCCCTTTGGTTTTTTTTTTTTTTTCCCCCTTCCAAGGTTTTAATGACGCATTCAAGCACCCATGACTAGGGATTAGATCCTGTGATTTCTCGTTCATAAGCATCTTTTTGTTCGTATCATAAGTATCTTTTTGTTGGCTTAGTTGTTATGGTGATATTTTTTTTTTGGGGGGTACAAAAGCAGACTACAGAAAAATATGAAAACTCTGAAAAAAATGCAAAGTTCACTGTCCGAGAGAAAAGTTTAGATATACGGAAGAGAGTTAGTGGAGTTTTGTAACTTTGTAGTAGTTTGATCAGCAACTTTCTTTTCTCGACCCTGAAAAATACAAGCAATTTTGTAAAACCATACAAGTCTTGTTTCTTTCATATCTTTCCTACTGTTATCAAATGGGATTGCTCCATTTTTCGACTGCATGTTTCGCTTAACCTCAAATATTGCAGAACTATGACAAAGAACACTTGCATCATCAAACGAGCCATGTTTAACATGGCCATCCAATTAAAAAAAATAAAAAATATCTCCAAAATATAAGTTGTTTGTCAAGCCCCACTTGCATCGTGAAATTGAAAGTAAACAAAACGCTAAATTCGTCACATGGCAGATTTAGAAGACCTTGAGACGGGGGCTGAAATCAAAATAAGAAAAAACATAGGATGTCATACATATCTGGATCTAGATAGCAAAACTGTGACAGTTCATTGACTTGGACACAGGTCAAATTGATCTTGTTCATTCTCAATTGAGTATTCAGGAATCTCTCCTTGCTAATGTGTAGTATACATAATTTCTATTGCTTAAGAGAAACTTTTTCATGTTAAAATCTGAATAGTTCAGCATTCTACATATCTTCCAAGAGGCTACCCATTTATTCATTTAATTATTTATTTTGTTGTGGCAAAAATCATGATGGGGAGACATGAATTTGAGCCAGATTAGAAAGCGTATTAGAATGTAGAATCAATCGCCTTTTATTATATGATATGACAGCATTCTAGTTCTCTTCTACATCTTATGTGGTTAAATCAATAATTGCATGTGCAAATACAGAAAACAATAATTGTAGTAAATAGCATATTGAACGACTCATAGCCAAGTCATTGGCGACTCTTTTACCTGAAAACGTGAACCAGCAACTCCAGAAGTGTTTAAGGACAGAACAGAACCATCTTTAAAAATCAAATTAGCTATTCTTGATTATCCAAACTGTACACAGTTCTTGAAAAAGCAAATCTAACTAACTACTCTTGCTACCAATCATATACAAGCAAGTGCTTAAACTAATGACAACTCATAACTAACCTGATCTTAGCCGGCCGTTAATTACCATTAATCTCCTAGCTAATTACGCAACCGTGAGCTTGAAGTTGACATTGTCAAGATATCACCTACTTGATCCTATGAAGCCACATGTCGTATCACAAGCCGTCTCCAGTCTCCACAGCACTTTCCTTCTAAGAAAAAATAGGGATCTAATTTTATATGTTTTGTTCTAACACGAAGAAAGGGATTAGCGGCAAGCATTAATGTGCTCAGGTTGTCACACTTAGATCACAAGAAGTCTTGCAGAACTAGCTTTGAAGCTTTCCTAACAATGATTGCAACCAAGAAATATTTGCAAGCAGATTTGCTACACTTCTGAACTCTGCTTTAGTGTAGACGTGAAAACACAATATCCCCAGTTGGACCTTCTATCATCGAGTTTGGTATCACTCCTAAGTTGTCACTCTTTTATTAATCGATGTTTACAAAATTGCTACATAATTAATAATATGAGATTGCGCATATCAATAAAATTAAAATAGTGACAACTTATGAAGTTAAAAATTGATATTAGAGTTAGTGTACCTAACATTTTTTTTTTTCTAAATAAACCTCAAAATGTACTATAAAAATGGAAAAAAAAACTTTTTGCTTTTGATTTGTTTTGCTATGCTTTGCTTTTAGAGTTTAATTCTCCTGAACTTTAGTATCATTTCAGTTTGGCATCTGAACTTAAAATTAATCCCATTAAAAAAAATGAAATGTGATCATGTGATCTTTTTATTAAAAAATGAAAAATGATCATATAAGCACATTTAATCCCCTCTTTTTCTGCATGACTTTAACAAAAATTTTAACAAGAAGTGTTAAGTGAGAGTAAATCAAAATTCAAGAGAAAAAAATGAAAATTTTTAAAATTTAAGTGGCAAATAAAAAATAACTTTAAAATTTTGGGGCATTAATAAGATTAACTCTTGTTTTTAATTTTTTTAATTTTTATTTTTGAGCACAATTGCCCTTGAACTTGTTGTCGTTTAGTAAATTGCCATCTAAACTTTTTATTTTAAAAATCAACCCCTTAAACTTATAAATTTTTACAATATGCCCCATTTTATAAAATGTGCTCAAATTTTTTGTTAGATTTAGGGTTATTATTACCTATGTCTCCGAATTTCGGGGTTACCCCTATTTTGCCTACTAAATTTTAAAAATACTCACCTTACTATTCTAAACTTTTATAAACTTTCACTTTGCCAAATATCATCAAGATTGAGGAATTAAAAGATTTATATTATATTTGAATTGAGATGTAAAATTTTTCGTTGAGTATGCTTTTTCGACATTAATGTAACACAATTATTGTTAAAATGAAACATATTATAATAATTTTATATGTTAAAAGGATAACTTATTAAAATAAAAAAATTTAAAAGGACAATTTATTAAATCACGTCAAGTTTGGGGGCAAATGTGCTATTTATTTATTTATTTTTTCAGGGTGGGTCATTGGCAATGCCCAAAATTTCGAGAAACAACGCCGCTGGTGACCGCTCAGCGAGTTCAAGTTTGAAAGTAAAACTGAGCAGAGCAGAGCCCGCCCTAACAAATGAATTGAAGACTTAGAGAGAGAGAGAGAGAGAGAGAGAGAGAGAGTTAGGGTTTCGAATCAATGGAGGCCGCAGTGGTCGACGCCGGCTCCAAGCTCCTCAAAGCTGGTCCCGCTATTCCTGACCAATCTCCTTCCATGGTAATCCCTTCATTTCTCTCTCCATTTTCACTTTTCGTTGAGCTTAGACGACTGATTTAGGGCACGGCTTGTTTCGCTCCAAATAATCGTCATTCTTCTTTGGAAATACTTGTCTCTGAACATTGCAAAATTCAAGCTTTTAGTCTTAAGATGATTTTTTAGGTTATAACTTAATTCGAGATTTTGTTCAATTTCAGACCAAGTTTCTAATTGCAGGACAGAAAGGAAAGTTTGGATTTTTTTTCCTTCTTTGTTTTTAACTTCTTTGTTGTATGGTCTAGATAATTCCTACGCAAATGAAACGAGTGCTTGAAGAGGGATCGGTGAACGAAAGCTCGTTGTCTGAGGATATTACCGTTGATCCTGTCGTTCGGGGTTATATTAGAGATTGGGATGCAATGGAGGATCTGTTGCACCATGTTCTGTATACTGGACTTGGCTGGGAAATTGGCAATGAAGGGCAGATACTATTTACCGATCCACTTTCTACCCCGAAGGTATAAGATGTTTTCTTGCAGTTAGTACATGTCAAATTTAATAATGCTTTCTCGTCTGATTGTGCTTGATTATTTACATGAATCTGAAGTTTTTAAGGGCGAAAATAATAGGATGAGAGGATTTTTATGGCCAGGCTGTCAGAGAGCAGTTGGTGCAACTGATGTTTGAAATGTTTAACATATCGGGCTTCTATGCTTCAGAACAAGCTGTATTGTCGCTTTATGCAGTAGGACGAATCTCAGGATGCACTGTTGACATTGGTCATGGAAAGATAGGTATGTTATCTAGGTACAAGGGTTGTTAAGTTGATGGTTGGTTTCTAATCTCTTGTGAATCAAAAGAATCTTAAACTTGACTACGTGTAAATAGTGTAACCTTTTCTTTTCTTTTCTTTTTATTTGTTTGGAATTGCAGTAAGTTCTAAGTTATCTTTAGTTTGTAAGTTAATAGATTGATACTTAGTTATCTTCTTTAAACCTTTAAGACATAGTGAGTAGTGAATAGATTGCTCTTTTAACTCTTTATGTCATAATACAGAACCAAGTGAGAAACATAACTGTAAAGTTCATTAGATGTTTAGGTCATTACTTGATGATAACAGCCATAAAAGAAGTGTTGGATGGCAGATTTAGAGTGGTGATGTTTATTATTAATGGAATGCTTCACTTTCAAGTGATCTTGTTGAAGAATTCGGCCCAAGTAATATGAACCCATTCCTACCATTGTTTGTATTATGGAGGGCCTATCATTGACACTTTATGTTCCCATGTTTATTGGCTTTACTGTCTTTAGAGTTAAAGTGTTTTTTTTTTGAACGGGTTTAAGTGAAATGCAATTCAATGCATAAGATACACCATAGGTCGTACCAGCCGTTCTACTGCTAACTGGTCCTGTGTATGTTAAGCCGGTTTGTGTAATCCTGGGTCTCGGAGCATTTGTATATTATTCCAACATTTGAATACATTGATAAATGATTTTGAGGCAGGAAAAATGTCAAAACTGCAAAAGAGGTTAAGATCAGTGTGAGTGAAAGACTGAAAATAAGTTAAAAATGCCAATAGAAAAACTTATAAGCTTACTAATAAAATGTTGCTGAGAAGCAAGGTTTCTCCCTTCCACAGTCCAGCCATAGTATCCTTCTGTCCTTGATTTCTCTGACTTTTGATATGTTTAACATTCATTGGTGATGAACTTTCTACTTCTTACAATGTCGTCATAAGAGCTCCATATGCTCTTTTTACCATACGGTGAGGTTAGGTATTCTCCAGCAGCACCAAGTCAAGATGAATATGCTTGTCTTGTTTCATTCTAAGTTGTACATCATACAAAGATCTATATGCTGGCAGATTGTGATGCAAACATCAACTGCAATTCCTATATTTTCCCTTTCAGAACTCTTGTTTCCCTGGTTGCGTACATATATTCCTATATTACAAAGTCAAATCTGTTTGGTAGTCATAATTTCTAGTAATTATAGGAAAACTATTCATTTCAGAGGTTCCACTTTCAGTTTCCATGATTGCAATATAATGATCATGTGACAGTATATATGGTCCTTTTCAAATGTAGTGGAGGCTTTAAAAAATGATGAGATTCTAACTTATACCGTCTCATTCTCCTTTCTTTTTTTTTTTCTCTAGATATTGCACCAGTAATTGAAGGTGCGGTTCATCACATTGCTTCCAGAAGGTTTGAAATAGGAGGTGTCGACTTGACAAAGTTACTTGCTCAGGAACTTGGAAAATCCAATCCATTTGTTAATATCAGCATGTCTGATGTTGAGAAAATAAAGGAGCGATATTCATGTTGTGCTGAAGACGAACTTGCTTATGGGAAGCTTGAAAGTTCATGCCAGACAGAAAAACATACTCTTCCCGATGGACAGGTCCATGTTTCACTATGTTCAAACTAAATGTTTGCCGTTTATGATTTTCCTTCTCACCTCTTTCTGAGAAATCCTTGCTTGATTGCAACCTTCCTAATTTATGACATTTTATTAGCCATTAGGTATCAAAATATAAGTTGCTTCCACTATAATTTCAGGTAATTACAATTGGAAGAGAAAGATATACAGTCGGTGAGGCTTTATTCCAACCATCTATATTGGGTTTAGAGGCACATGGAATTGTTGAGCAGCTTGTTCGTAGTATCTCAGCAGTATCATCTGATAATCACCGGCAGTTACTAGAAAACACGGTATTATGTGGTGGCACTGCATCCATGACTGGTGAGTTTATGGTGGTTGATCATGTGGTGGCTCTAGGATTTACCCTTTTTTGTAATTTTATTTACTTTCCTGTCATATAATTCATAGGGTAATTACTTACGTTCAGAACAGCATTAAAACAAAAAGAACAAAAAAAGAGAAAAAGAACCCAAAAAAAAAAAAAAAAAACAAACAAAACAAACAAAAAAGAAAAAAGAAAAATAAAAAAGAGTACTAATCCTTGGTGGTTGCCTGCTTTCTGATGATCTAGTTATTTGTACACCAACTGAAAAGCTGGATGGCTCACCATAGGCTAGATAGTATCAGTTATCATTATTAGCATTGTGTACTAGGGGGATTATCATATCTAAATAAAGTTCACTCAAATTGCTCGGTTTGATCTATAAGTTGGCTTGAGGTTTGGCATGAGAAAAAGTAAATTGGAGGGGTGTCTGAATGAATAAGACACGTCTATGATAGTAAAAAATAGCCAACAAATGATAACAAGTATTATTGATTAAGTATCAACTATCAAGGTGCTATTTTGTTTTCGGATGGAAAAATTCTGTGGAACAGTAGTTAATGTACATTTTATTAGCTGGAGAGGCCACCGATGCTTTTCCATGAACTGCATTAGTTGGGTCTCTTGTTTTAAAGAAATTGCTTGTAGTCAGCCACTTACTCGCAGTTTTGTGCAGGTTTTGAAGAAAGGTTTCAGAAAGAAGCTGGTCTCTGCTCATCTGCTATTCGTCCTGCTCTGGTCAAGGTATTTTATTTTATCGCAAAAGATGGATCCACATAAGAATATGTGTAGTTCGCCTTTGTTCTCTTTGAGATCATGTATAACGGCATGATCAGCAAATATTTCTGTCTGTTTAGTACCTTTGCATCTCTGCATCATCATTCCCTTTTCCATCCACGCATACAGAATAATCACAAGCCCTTTAATCAATAATTTAATTTGGATTTTTTTTTTCTAGTACTGAACGTCCATTTTCTTTTTATTTGCAAGTCAAACAATTTCATATTTTCTGTACGTCAAACCTGTGAAATCCTAGTATCAATATTGTTGGGATTTTTATTTGGAGAGTGGAAATTCTTGTGCTAAATTGGTGAGAGTTTTTTATTCATCACAGCCTCCGGAATACATGCCCGAGAACTTGACAATGTACTCAGCGTGGGTGGGAGGTGCCATACTTGCCAAAGTTGTGTTCCCACAGAATCAGCACGTAACGAAGGCAGACTATGACGAAAATGGACCTTCCGTCGTTCATCGGAAATGTTTCTGATGCTGTATTTTGCTGTACAAGCCCTTGGATATCTGTAGGTTCGTTGTACTGTGGTTCAGTTTATAGTAGTGCAAAACATCGTGTTGGTTAGACTCTACATGTAGAAAATTCTCAAACACTTTGAGCTAAAAATTCCAAGACCTCGGCAGGAAGAGCCACAAGACCGTTGAAGAATAGTCTTTAGCATCTTCCGTATTTGCTCCAAGATCACAGCATTAAAGTTGCAATTTTTTTTCTAAATCTTTTTGCTGTGAGATTAAAGTTGCAATTCACAATCTGGAAGATCTAGGCCAAGGCCTTGCGTAGCCAACTAAAATATTTATCGATTCAATTTGAGCTCTTGAATTACTATTTTGTTGATATTCTGTTTGATTAACCCTTTTTTTTTTTTTTTTTTTTTTGATAGAATCTGTTTGATTGACCTTTTCCCACCCAAACTACAAAAGACCCTTGTGGAAAAAAAATTCTGTGATTGGCAATGAATAAAGGAAAATAGGTGGGCAATTAAAGAATCCAAAAACAACCGACAAAGTAGAAACAAAAAAGAGAAATAACTACACACACGAAGATGGGCAATTACTTGTCATTTTATCTTAATAATTAGTCTAAGCTCGCGGGAGTCCAAAGAATCCCGTGGAAGGTTGGGTGGAGGGACTCCGGATTCGCGGATTCTGGTGGTGGATGCGCTTGGACTTTGTGTTTCTTTGTTGTTTTTGTGTTGTCATTCGTGTAATAAGAATGGTGGTCTTCCTACAGTCCCTTTGTGTTTTTTCTGGTATTTATGTGTTGTGTTTCCTGGCTGGGTTTGGCTTAGAGGATGGTTTCCTCTTATTTTGTTCGGCGGTCTCTTGATTTGGGATTGGGTCAAGATGGGATGTTCCCTGACCATACTGTAGGAGTTTAACTCCGTTCAGGATTAGGGTTTCATATAGCTCCATCGATTGATACACGGACTCTCACATAGGTTCTTTGAGTCTGCTTGTATGCCCAATTCTTGGTGCTTAGACCTTTGGTTTTAACTTGGCTGTTACTCACCAAAATGAAGTTCTTCTCCTCCGATTGGAGGCCTTACTCACCAAAAAAAAAAAGAGTGAGTAGTACTGAAATTAATTAAAGTAGGAGGAGATGCCAACTGCTACTCCCTTCCAAAAATATATATATATATATATAAAAAAAAAAAAAAACTGAAGAAGCCAACGGCTAGTAACGGGGAATAAAGAAGATAATGGCGAAAACGAAAAAACAAATAATAGATTGCTGTAAAACATTCTGTTCTAATTTGTCCGCTTGTGCTTTCTCTTTCCTTCACAGCTTTCATATCAACAATCAACAACTAATTTAAAAAAAAGTCCCAAAAGCGATATTGCTGGCCCACAGAGCAACGTCCATAACCTTAAAATAATAATTTTTTTTTTTTTACTTTGCTGGCCGACATGCATGATTACATGAATTTGTTGCAACGGATAGTTTTGATTATAACTTTTATGAATTAATTTTCGTCATTACAAATAAGTGGGAATAATACATCTCTCAATTCACTTCTCAATGACTGCTTTCTCAATCTTTCCTCTACACACTGCAACCATCGAACCATCATCTCTTTCCTTTTCTCCGTTCTCTAAAGCACTCTGTTGTTCTAATTTATTCTGTTGTTTGGGCTTTCTGTTTTCTTTACACCTTCATTTCATACCAACAACTATTATTACTAATGGCCGAAGGAGTACTTCTCATCATTCTTGCAGGATTCGTTGCAAACGTGGCTTCCGAACCTTTCCAATATATCAGACTGCCCTTCTGGTTTAAGGGTGAGCTCCGAAAACTTGAGGACACCATTACCATGATCAACGCTGTGCTTCTTGATGCAGAGGAGAAGGAAGATACCAACAACCAAGTCAAAGTGTGGCTTGAAAGTCTCGAAGATGTTATCTACGACGCTGATAACTTGGTTGACGAGTTTCGCTACCAACAACTACGCCGCAAAGTGCTTTTCGGTAAGAAAAGGGCAAAGAAGGTACGCATTTTCTTCTCGAGATCAAACCAACTTGCTTTTAGAGTGAAAATGGCTAACAAAATTAAACAAATTAGAGAGAAATTAGATGAAATTAAAGCCAATCAGGTATTTTCTCAATTAGATAAGTGCGAACATGGAGAGACAAGGACTTTCTCCTCTATAATGAGTGGGAGGGAGACTCACTCATTTGTAACGACTGATGAAGTTATTGGGAGAGATAATGATAAAAAAGAGATACTAGATTTTTTATTAGGCAACAATCTTGAGGCTAAAGAAAGTGTGACCACTGTTTCCCTAGTTGGAATTGGCGGATTAGGGAAAACCACACTAGCTCAGTTAGTTTACAATGATGAATTTGTCAAAAAGAATTTTGAGAAAACAATATGGGTTTGTGTTTCTGATGTTTTCGATTTGAAGTTACTTATTCAAAAAATTATTAGATCCGTAGATAATACTAGCCCAGATCAAAACCTTGACTTGGACCAGCTCCAAAATCAGCTTAGACTAAAAATACAAGATAAAAGATACCTTCTAGTATTAGATGATGTTTGGAATGAGAATAGTGATCAATGGGAGAAGTTAGAAACATTCTTAAAGCTAGGTGCACAGGGCAGCAAAGTTTTAATAACTACTAGGAGCATAAGAGTTGCAGATATTGTTCATTCGACTAAAACATACATGTTAAGTGGTTTGGACAAAAACAAGTCTTGGGCGTTATTTGAGAGAGTAGCATTTAGGGGAATAAATAAGAGAAATTCTCAGTACCACGGCCTTGTAGAAGTGGGAAGGGATATTGTGGATAAGTGTAAAGGAGTTCCTCTTGCGATAAAGACAATAGGGAGACTTTTGGAATCAAAGATACATTCCTCGCAAAATCCTGAAAAAGAGTGGGTTCGTTTTAGGGACAATGAACTTGCAAAAGTAGCTTTTCAAAATCATAGTGATATTGTGCCTACACTTAAGCTGAGTTACAATAGTCTCCCATCACACTTGAAGCATTGTTTTGCTTACTGTAGCTTATTTCCAAAGGATTATAGGATCAGCGTACAACAACTAATAGAAATTTGGATAGCACAGGGATTTATTATATCTGATAGCTCTAGTACTAGGCAACTAGAAGATATTGGTTATGAGTATTTCATGATTTTATTTTGGGGTTGCTTTTTCCAAGAAGCGGAAACAAGTGAGTTGCCATCGAATACCATAGAGTATTGTAAAATGCACGATCTCATGCATGATCTTGCAAGTCTAGTGGCTGGTAAGAGCATAAAAATATTTGATGTCAATACTAGTAATATCGAGTTAGCAAAAAATGCTTTTGAAAAGGTTTGTCATATATCTGTACGTTTTGCAAATAATAATAGCTCATGCCAAATTCCAAAACTGTTGTTTGAACAAAAAAAAATGCGCACATTTATTTTACGCGATGCAGAAAGTTTGAGTTCATCATGTCGTGATGATATTGTGTCAAACTTTAGGCTCCTACGGGCATTGAGTCTCCGTGGTATAAAGACTTTGCCAAAGAGCTTGGGTAAACTAAGTCATCTTAGGTTTCTTGATCTTTCATTCAGTGCTATTGTGGAGCTTCCAAGTTCCATAACAGAGCTGTATTATTTGCAAACACTAAAACTCCGTCAATGTACAAGTCTTCTAAGTTTGCCTGCAAATTTACAAAATCTAATCAATTTGAGGCATCTTGAGATTGGTGGTTGTGAAAAGTTGACTCATATGCCTCGTGGAATTGGTGAATTGTCGTCACTTCAATCATTAGATAGATTTATAGTGGCAAACAACAAATCAAGTGAAAGTGCTGCTGGATTTGATGAACTGAGCAAGCTTAACAACTTGCATGGAGGTTTTTTAACCATTGAGATACGGGGACTTGGTGAATCAAAGGCTGCTAAATGCTTAACGGACAAGGAACATCTTGAGTCCTTAATGCTGGCTTGGGTAGTAGAAGAATCGATGTGGAATGCTGAAGAAATATTTGATCGCTTAGAGCCACCTCAAAATATAATAGGCATAATAGTGTTCCACTATCCGGGTGAGACATTTCCAGCTAATTGGTTTTCTTCGCTCACCGATCTTGTTCGATTGGAACTAAATGCTTGTCAAAACTGCAAATATCTGCCACCACTGCACCATTTATCCTCCCTTGAGGAACTTACTTTAGACGCTTTGTCAGCTCTAGAGTACGTTTCAGAAAAGGACAATCATGATTGGAGCAGAGGTGACCAACCCGAGCCCTTATTCCCATCCTTGGTGAAACTCAATCTCATTGATTGTGGTAATCTGCAGGGATGGTGGAGGGGAGAAACAGAGGATTTTTGTGAAGCACTAACACCTCACCAACAACTTTATTTTCCTAAGCTTTCAATAGTAAACATAACCCGTTGCCCTATTCTAAATTCCATGCCCCCGTTTCTGAATCTTGAAGAGCTGAGTCTATATGCGACAAGCTCTAAGCCTCTAGAAAGGATGAGTAGGATGAAATTGAAAGTATATGATAGTGTTGAAGAAACATTTTCAGCATCTTCCTCCTCCATCCCTTCCTCTTCCCCTTCCGCTCTCTCTAAATTGGAGTATTTATCTGTTAAGTATGTTGACGATTTGGAATCTCTACTGTCAGAGGCACAAATACACAACCTCGCATCGCTACAGTATCTTGAAATTGAATCATGTTCAAAGTTAACCCTAATTCCCAATGGGATTGGCAGCCTCTCCTCGCTTACAAGTCTTGAAATTAGCGGATGTAGCAATTTGACTTCAATTCCTAATGAGATAGGAAGCCTCTCCTCGCTTACAAATCTTGAAATTAGCGGATGTAGAAATTTGACTTCAATTCCTAATGAGATAGGAAGCCTCTCCTCGCTTACAAGGCTTGAAATTAGCAGATGTAGCAATTTGACCTCAATTCCTTATGAGATAGGCGGCCTCTCCTCGCTTAGAGATCTTGTAATTGACGAGTGTAGCAAGTTGACCTCAATTCCCAATGGGCTAGGCTGCCTCCCAGCTCTCAAGTCTGTTAACTGGAGGCCTTGCACTGAAATACCAATGGACGCATTGGCTGACTTCCTTCTGAGGAAAAACTCTCCTGCTCCACAACATGTATGAGGTCAGTTCTTCATATACGCTGCCATTGAAAAGTTGCATTTAACAATACTAATGTTTTATTGATTTTGCAAGAGAACAAGGTATTTAAAAACTGAATTACTTTCATCACTCATTTACCTGCAAAAGTTAGTTTCATGACTCGTTGTCTTGAGCTTTGTAGTTCCTCAACCTTTATTTCCTTTGTCATATGAAACGATTAACTTTTTAGTCTTTTCTCTTCCTTCAGAAATCCCAGTTCAGCTAGCTGGTAGTGGAGTTTCTAAAACTATTTGTTGAGGCTAAAACAAAGTCTGCTTGTTGCCGCGTTAGTAGAGTTTTGTAAGCATTTTAATTAATTTGTTGCCACGTTCCTTTTTACGTTAGCAATTATTCTCTGTTTTTTTTTTTCTTTTTTTGCTTTGAGGACTTTGTATTGTTGTTTTATGCATACATTATTGAACTTGAGGGTAATTGAAGCAATATTTTAACAAGAATGTTGACTTTGGAATTTTACTTGTCAAATGGAGGAAAAAAAATTGTTAGATCCGTAGATAATACTAGCCCAGATCAAAACCTTGACTTGGACCAGCTCCAAAATCAGCTTAGACTAAAAATACAAGATAAAAGATACCTTCTAGTATTAGATGATGTTTGGAATGAGAATAGTGATAAATGGGAGAAGTTAGAAACATTCTTAAAGATAGGTGCACAGGGCAGCAAAGTTTTAATAACTACTAGGAGCATAAGAGTTGCAGAAATTGTTCATTCGACTAAAACATACATGTTAAGTGGTTTGGACAAAGACAAGTCTCGGGCGTTATTTGAGAGAGTAGCATTTAGGGGAATAAATAAGAGTAATTCTCAGTACCACGGCCTTGTAGAAGTGGGAAGGGATATTGTGGATAAGTGTAAAGGAGTTCCTCTTGCGATAAAGACAATAGGGAGACTTTTGGAATCAAAGATTCATTCCTCGCAAAATGCTGAAAAAGAGTGGGTTCGTTTTAGGGACAATGAACTTGCAAAAGTAGCTTTTCAAAATCATAGTGATATTGTGCCTACACTTAAGCTGAGTTACAATAGTCTCCCATCACACTTGAAGCATTGTTTTGCTTACTGTAGCTTATTTCCAAAGGATTATAGGATCAACGTACAAGAACTAATAGAACTTTGGATAGCACAGGGATTTATTATATCTGATAGTACTAGGCAACTAGAAGATATTGGTTATGAGTATTTCATGATTTTATTTTGGGGTTGCTTTTTCCAAGAAGCTAAAACAAGTGAGTTGTCGCCAACAACCATAAAGTATTGTAAAATGCACGATCTCATGCATGATCTTGCAAGTCTAGTGGCTGGTAAGAGCATAAAAATATTTGATGTCAATACTAGTAATATCGAGTTAGTAGAAAATGCTTTTGAAAAAGTTTGTCATGTATCTGTAGATTTTACAGATTATATTAGCTCATGGCAAATTCCAAAACTGTTGTTTAAACAAAAAAAGATGCGCACATTTATTTTACGTGACGCAAAAAGTTTGAGTTCATCATGTCGTGATGATATTGTGTCAAACTTTACGCTCCTACGGGCATTGAGTCTCCGTGGTATAAAGACTTTGCCAAAGAGCTTGGGTAAACTAAATCATCTTAGGTTTCTTGATCTTTCATCCAGTGCTATTGTGGAGCTTCCAAGTTCCATAACAGAGCTGTATTATTTGCAAACACTAAAACTCCGTGAATGTACAAGTCTTGTATGTTTGCCTGCAAATTTACAAAATCTAATCAATTTGAGGCATCTTGAGATTAATTGGTGTGAAAAGTTGACTCATATGCCTCGTGGAATTGGTGAATTGTCGTCACTTCAATCATTAGATACATTTATAGTGGCAGACAACAAATCAAGTGAAAGTGCTGCTGGATTTGATGAACTGAGCACGCTTAACAACTTGCACGGAGGTTTAACCATTGAGATACGGGGACTCGGTGAATCAATGGCTGCTAAATATTTAACGGTCAAGGAACATCTTGAGTCCTTAAAGTTGGAATGGCTAGTAGAAGAGTCGATGGGGAATGCAGAAGAAACATTTGATCGCTTAGAGCCACCTCAAAATATAAAAGCCATACAAATGTACTTCTATCCGGGTGAGACATTTCCAGCTAATTGGTTTTCTTCGCTCACCGATCTTGTTCGATTGGAACTAAATGCTTGTCAAAACTGCAAATATCTGCCACCACTGCACCATTTATCCTCCCTTAAGGAACTTAGATTAGTTGCTTTGTCAGCTGTAGAGTACGTTTCAGAAAAGGACAATCATGATTGGAGCAGAGGTGACCAACCCGAGCCCTTATTCCCATCCTTGGTGAAACTCAATCTCATTGATTGTGGTAATTTGCAGGGATGGTGGAGGGCAGAAACAGAGGATTTTTGTGAAGCACTAACACCACACCAACAACTTTCTTTTCCTAAGCTTTCAATAGTAGAAATAAGCTATTGCCCTCTTCTAAATTCCATGCCCCTGTTTCCGAATCTCGAAGAGCTGAGTCTATATAAGACAAGCTCTAGGCCTCTGGAAAGGATGAGTAGGATGAAATTGAAAGTATATGATAGTGTTGAAGAAACATTTTCAGCATCTTCCTCCTCCATCCCTTCCTCTTCCCCTTGCGCTCTCTCTAAATTGAAGCATTTATCTATTAACTATGTTGACGATTTGGAATCTCTACTATCAGAGGCGCAAATACACAACCTCACATCGCTACAGTATCTTGAAATTAGCGGATGTCGCAATTTGACTTCAATTCCTAATGAGATAGGCAGCCTCTCCTCGCTTACAAGTCTTGTAATTGGAGGATGTAGCAATTTGACCTCAATTCCTAAAGAGATAGGCAGCCTCTCATCGCTTACAAGTCTTGTAATTGGAGGATGTAGCAATTTGACCTCAATTCCTAATGAGATAGGCAGCCTCTCCTCACTTACAAGTCTTGTAATTAGAGAATGTAGCAATTTGACCTCAATTCCTAAAGAGATAGGCAGCCTCTCCTCGCTTACACGTCTTGAAATTGGAGATTGTAGCAATTTGACCTCAATTCCTAAAGAGATAGGCAGCCTCTCCTCGCTTACAAGTCTTGTAATTGGAGGATGTAGCAATTTGACCTCAATTCCTAATGAGATAGGCAGCCTCTCCTCGCTTACAAGTCTTGTAATTGGAGGATGTAGCAATTTGACCTCAATTCCTAATGAGATAGGCAGCCTCTCCTCGCTTACAAGTCTTGTAATTGGAGGATGTAGCAATTTGACCTCAATTCCCAATGGGCTAGGCAGCCTCCCAGCTCTCAAGTCTGTTAACTGGACGCCTTGCACTGAAATACCAATGGACGCATTGGCTGACTACCTTCTGAGGGAAAACTCTCCTGCTCCACATGTATGAGGTCAGTTCTTCATATACCCTGCCATTGAAAAGTTGCATTTAAGATTTCTAATGTTTTATTGATTTTGCAAGAGGACAAATTATTTAAAACTGAATTACTTTCATCAGTCAATTACCTGCAAAAGTTAGTTTCATCACTCGTTGTCTTGAGCTTTGTAGTTCCTCAACGTTTATTCCTTTTGTCATATGAAACGATCAACTTTTTAGTCTTTTCTCTTCCTTCAGAAATCCAACTTTGGCTTGCTAGTTGTGGTGGAGTTTCTAGAACTACTTGTTGAGGTTAAAACAAAGTCTGCTTGTTGCCACGTTATTAGAGTTTTGGTAAGCATTTTAATAATTTGTTGCCACGTTTCTTTTTACGTTTGCAATTTTTCTTTTTTTCTTTTTTTTTTTTTCCCCTTCTGGGACTTTGTATTGTTGTTTTATGCATACATTATTGAACTTGGGGGTAATGGAAGCAATATTTTAACAAGCATGTTAACTGTCGATTTTTCACTTATCCAACGGCCAAAAAAAAAAAAAAAGTAGAAGCTTGGTACCAATGCTGTTCGACATTCCGTCATATGATAGTGTTGAACTCATATGTTAAAAAAACAAAAAATACAATGGTCTCATTGGAATGAAGAAATTATAGCTTAAGATGATGCATGTGGCGCTCTTTATTAAGTTTTGGGGCAAAACATATTTGCCTAGAAATAAAGAAAGATTTGTTGGTGGTCTCATAATGATCCGAGAGAGAATAAAATATGATTGATACTCAGTCTTAAGCCAGTTGTGAGACCATGATCTTTAGAGCACTAGTCTGATATCATTTGTCCCATGATTTGTAAATTCTCAAACATTCTTTTGTTTCCAAGTTTATAGGGGTTTTGATTTGAATTGAAGACATACTTTATTGGGGTGATTAAGAAATATGGAGACCACAACACTGTGGCGACCCTCTTATAAGGCCGCCACTGTAACTTAAACAATAACTTGTACTTACTGGGGTTTCTTAAAATTTGTGGAACATTTTTTTTTTTAATATAAGAAGGAATTCTTTTATAATTTGTAACAATAATTTCAAATAAGTGAATCACTAAATTTCTTAAAGTTTTTCTTAATTTCAGTTAAGATAAAACGTTCTAGAAATATCTTTCAAACAGAGCAGCATTTGAACTCTTGTTTCAAATACTCTTTAAAAGCCTTTCTAAAACTAGCCAATTCAATCGGGCCATTTAATTTTGACTTTAAAACAGATTTCGTGAGAAATCTTAAATTCAAGTACATCTTAAAGCCCTTTTAAAATCAATCATTTAAATCGTCATGTTTAAATTTTGTTTATTTGTTGCATGCTATGTTGCAACGTTCTAAAACGTAAATACTCAAAACGAGGGTTGTTAGCTACAACCTCGGTTTCTTTAACATACATATGCACCTATACTTTTTAAACATACATGCTTGAAACCTTTAAATCATATATACATATACATGATTTTACTTGAACTTACTGCGGAAGATTTTAAGTGTTAGCGGTATCCATTCCCATCTCCACCATTCACTTATAGGTTTCTTACCTACAGCATGAACATATCCGATTGAGCTTTCGCTCAGCAAGTAGGAACTATATCTCACAAAATAACTGTAAGTACACATGAATAAATATGCATGAGCTGATTATGCTTAATTATGATGTCTTATAATAATTTTATTATCTTATCTTATCTTTCTTACTGATGGGCCCGAGTGCTCGCGTACCACTTGCGCGCAATCATCGGAACGTGAGGGTTTGCAAGGTCCCCCACAACACCGTGATTATAACT